GAGCCCAGGAGTTGGAGGTTGCTGTGAGCAGTGAAGCCATAGCACTCTACCCAGGGGGACAGCTTGAGGCTCTGTCTCAAAATAAATAAATAAATAAAATAAAATAAAATAAAATAAACCAGCAGTGGAGACAGCAAAGTTCCATTGAGTAAAAATTCTGCGAGTCACTATTTCTCTGGGGGGTTTTTTGTTTGTTTGTTTTTGGCTGGGGCTGGGTTTGAACCAACCACTTCCAGCATATGGGGCCAGTGCCCTACTCCTTTGAGCCACAGGCACTACCCAGAGAGTTGCTATTTCTCAAGCATTCACTAGAAGTGCTGGCCATTCAAATCTTATAGTAACCCCAGCAAGTAGTTACTACATGTATGCCCATTTCACAGATGGGACAACTGAGACTTAGAAAGGTGAAGTTGCTTGTCAGAGGTAACCTAGCTGGGACTCAAGAATATTTCATGTTGGCAGGGATAGGTGGCTCACCCCTATAATCCTACCACTCTGGGAGGCCCAGGGAGGAAGATCCCTTGAGCTCAGGAGCAACAGCAAGACCCCACCTCTACTAAAAGTAGAAAAACAACAACCACAACAAAAACTAGCTGGGCACTGTGGCAGGCACCTTGTAGTCCCACCTACTCAAGAAGCTGAAGCCGGAAGGTCGCTTGAGCCCCAGAGTTTGAGGTTGCTATGAGCTATGATGACACCACAGCACTCTACCCAGTGGGTGACAGAGTAAGATTCTTTCTCAAAAAAAAGCAAAAAGAAAGAATATTTCACCTTGCAGTGACTCCCTGAGACCTCTCCCCCCAGCTTCTCTCTCTCTGCTTTCAGAGACTCCTTGGATCCACTCTTCCCTGCCTCCCTTCCTTCCCTGGATGCAAGTCAGGGCTCAGAGGGAAGGGCAGTACAAAGTCCAGCCTTGTGCTTCGTGGCAAACATGTTTATCTGATCGCAGACCTGGGCTGCCTGATGTCCTCCCCTCCCCCTCCTGCAGTCGTCACACTCCCAGGCATGCCTCCCTCCCTTGCCTCTCCTGGGCTCCAACTATCTGCCTCTATCCATCTGATTCCCTGTCTCTTTCTTCCTCTCCCTCCCTTCCTCTCCCCCCACCACCCCATCCCAGGTTTTTCTACATCAGGTCACATTTAAACTGAACTTGACAATATAGGCCAGCCACCCTTCACAAATGCATGCGCAACGCACAGAAATACCAAACAGATATTTCATGTGAAAATGGAAAGCAAATGGGTTAAAACCAGCTCATGTGAACAATTACTGGTAAAGTTGGGCCACAAATTCACAAGTAAATTTAAAATGCTAGTCAGGACACAGATTGCTGAGAAGGCCTGTATTTCCCTTTTGTGAGAGAAGTTGCCTGTGCCACTTATTTCTTTTTTTATTATTTTTTAAATTAAATCCTAACTGCGTTCATTAATGCATTTATGGGGTACAATGTGCTGATTTGGAATGCTTACATCAAACTGGTTGACATAACCTTCGCCTCACTTACTTATTTGTTGTGTTAAGACATTTATACTGTACCCTTAATAGTTTTGACACATACCCTTGCCCATTAGGTAAGCGTGTGCCACTTTTTCCTAGAACTGACTGAAACTCTGGCTCTCTCACTCGGCTCATCTTTATCTGTGTGTCCCTTCCACACACTCAGTCTCTAAGGACCTGACTCTTTTCCAGGACAACTTGCCTAACTCTCCCAACTTAGAGGCCACATCTCCGGGCATCCCCTGCTTTGATTCTAATGGGTTTCAGAATCAAACCAAGCTAGGTATAAATCCCACCCCTGTGATCTAGCGCCATGTCATCTTTCGTGATACACATCTACCCTGTAACATAGGGTAGATGCATGCCTACCTCACACTGCTATTGGGGATGTTAAATGAACTTCAAATAGGGGAAATACACAGAGCAGGGCCTGTCACAAAGTAATTACTCAGTAAGTGCACCAATATTGTCATCATCTGTTTAATGATGCTGTCATGAGGACCCCTGGACCCACATCACATCAGAGCCCAGGAGAGGTGAAAATCTGCCTACATATCTACCCCCCCTCCCCCATCCTACCCATTCTAGGGGCAATCAGACTCCCAAGGCACTGGGCCTTTTGCTCTCTTGTGCCCACAGGTCAGGGCATCCCAGGTGATGGAGCCATGGCCAGCCAGAAGTGCCACCCATCTGGAGGGGGAGCTGACTCCTCAGTGTGGGGGCTTTAGATCTGAGTTTGAATCCTAGCTATGCCATGCCCTAGCCAAATGCCCTTGGATAGCTTCTTAACCTCTGTGTGCCTCAGTTTCCTCATCTGTGAAATAGGGCTAATGATATTTCATACTTCAAAGATTGTCAGGAGGAAAGAATGAATTTTGTGTATTTATAAGCCCACCCTGAACAGTGAAGCACTGCATGGAAGTGAGCTGGTGGGCAAGTTGAAGAACAAGAATGACCAGGGAGGGAAAAGCAAGAAGTAAACAAAGGTTGCTGTGCTAAATGTGGGGTAGAAGGACTCAGGTCCAATTCCTGATCTTACTACATAACTTTGAAAGAGTTACCTTCTGTAAGTCACTGCCTCTCTGAGCCTTAATTTGCTCATCTGTAAAATGGGACCACTACTAACTGCTATATTTATTGTGCTTACTATGTGTGCATGCTACAAGTATCATGGAGCTAAGTGTTATTGTCTCTGCCTTGCAGACGAAACTGACGCTCCAAAAAACAAAATCACCTGCCTGAGCAAATAAGAGGCAGAGCTGGGATTCAGATGCAGGCAGGCTGGCTTTGGTTAGGGGTGACAGGTCCTTTTTCCTGCCTTGTCTACTATCCTCCTGGGTCTCAATGCCCCAGTGCTCCCTGATAGGAAAGATCAGAGAGCTTCAGGGCTGGGTTTATGAGCTGGGAGGACCTGGCAGGACACCCAACAAGGACCCCTGGGTCCCGGTTCTTCCCTCAGCCCTGGCCAAGGCGCAGCAGGTATCCTCAGGGCCTCAGAGAATCCTAGTTGCTCATTCATTCCTGCTGAATGTCAGCCAGGGGGCTGGGTATGGGGGGTGCAAGTAGTGAGTAAGGCAACCCAGGCCTTGCCCTTGAGGAGCTTCTAGTTTTATGGCAGGAGATAGAAAACAAACAGATGAATAAGGTCATCAAAAGTAGTAATAAGGGGGTGGTGCCTGTGGCTCAGTGAGTAG